TATCTGCAAATTTTTTTTTTAGTTGTGGACTCCAATTTTTATTTAAGGAGTAATAACTATTCAGACACGTCTTTAGGTTTCTAATAAGTATTCTAATTCTAGTTTCGTGGATGTTTCTCTTACCATTCACACAACATGGGCAAAGAACAGAGAGCCTCAACCGTAAATAATGTGGACGCAAAAAAACAAAATCACGGGGGAAAATTTTTATTTCATTAGTGGACATAACTCGAGTGACATTTCGTGTTGATAATCCCGTCAACAGATCTCGGCACGTTTACATTGCGCGATACATTTTGAAGACGACAGTGACGTTTTCTCACACCTACTATTCAACAAACCAAGCAGTTTGCGTCGCCATATTTCACCGTGCGAAATAAATTAGGACAAATTGGCGATCAATTTTTCGTGCTAAGTGGGACGGGCTTTGTACACCCACGCAACAATTTACAGTGCGACAGGAGTTTCTACAACTATAAACGAACAATTAATGAAAGAAAGGTCACTGACAGCTTAAGAGACATGGGGCGTGACGTATGGTGCTCACACTTCTTACTTCGTGATTGGTTTTTTAATGTTCGCATAAGTTAATGCTTCAACCTAATTATCTCTGGAGCGATAAAAAAAAATCGCTCGGAACTCACCACGCCCTGCATTTGTTAAGCTGTCATTACAAGTTGTTATCAATAACCTTCATGGAGGCTGCACTGAATCCATGCAACAAAGTGTCTGGTAGCGGACTCCAGCGCCGCCACACGTTCGCGAACAGAGGGTCATTGAAGAGAGGAAGACAGTAGGGAGACGGTGGTCCCGGAGCAGGAAGAGCCGCCGCCCGCAGCCGGCAGGAGGCGACAGGAACGGCAGCAGCAGCGTAGAGCAGCCCCGCCGCGACCATCACTTTTGTGACTATGCAATTTGCTGGTGCACAATTGCACCAATCACAAAAATGATGAGCGCAACGGAGAGAGAGGAGCGAGGAGAGAGGCCAAGTCTCGAAGAGAAAGTTGAGCAAAGAGAGAAAGACACACAGGAGGAGAAGAAGCACTCCGAGTCGCATGCTACGTATAATGTGCACATGACGGGACAAATAGGAAGGTGAGAACGGCCAAAGTTGTCATGTCTGGCTAGCTGACCGATTCTTGGCATCATTGTTGTTATAAATGAGAAACATATCGTTTCCTCATTTGTGTACTTTCTATTTGACTTAGCGGATTTGGGATTTCAAAGCTGAAGCTAAAATTCATGAGCTGTAGAGTACGAGCTCAAACCATCGCGCCCTTAGGGTCTAGGTCAAGAACTAAACCCAGGGGAACAACAACATTATTTATTAAAGCATGAAATGCTTTTGAGCCGAACCCCGCCCCCCCCCCCCCCCCCCCCCCCAATTTTTGTCCGTTCATGCATTTCCCGCTAACTTTAGCGGGAACATTGACGCCACGTGATCAGGCGTAACTCTATCTGAAGACCAATTCAGTTTCCCCGATAAATTTGGCGAGGAAAATAATGTCCCGTGACCTGAAGTCACAAGGCCTATACATTAATTCGGCTTCTCTGTTAAATTTAGCAATAAAATTAATGTCACGTGACATGACGTTACCTGACCTATTACATAAATTTAGTTTCCTGCTAAATTTAGCGGAAATATCGACGTCACGCGACCTTTGTACCAAGCAGTGGTACCAAGTAAGATTCCATATTATAATTAAAAATTAACGGGGAAATTCATAAAAATAGACATTCTACTTCACTCCCCCAAACGACTGTTTAATGTCTTCTAAACAAATTTAAACGATCACTACTCAAATACTGCGTTTTATGCATTATGGCACTTCGGAGATAAAGTTGACTGACTTTTTGCTTAGGTTTCTGCTGGAGCTCCGCGTAAAAGTTCGGCTAGGGCTCGAGTTCAATCAGTAATGCACCAATGGAACACGAGTCCGTGGACGAACACTGCCGCAGTGCTCGTGGCCAATACCGAGTTATGAACGGCATTCGCAACTTTCACCGTCGACTGGGCACGTGCTAGAGCCAATCAAAATTGAATACGTTTCAGTTGTCTGGAATCCGCATCAAATTGATTTAATAGACAAGCTTGAAAAAATTCAAAATCCATGTGCTAGAATTGCATTAAATAAATATGAACATGGAGCGAGTGTCACTAACATAAAGAGATATGCTACGCTGGGATGAACTGAGTGAGCGCAGAAATCTTTTTAGGCAGAATTTTTCACGTGATATCTACAACAATAAACTACTAATCAATAGAGATACTTTTTTTACAGGAACCTTTTTTTTGTGTAAGGGAGAACAGAGCACCCTGACAAAATAAGATCATAACCCTGTCACACTGATACTTTCGGTTATTCCTTTTTTCCGAGAACCATTGAAGAGTGGAATAGGGTGCGGATAGATGTGTTCACGGTATATTTTTAAGATGTTTTCTGGTGCTCAGTGGTATTTTCTTGTAAATATTATATTACAGTCCTGATAGAAACATAGCGCATCTTTGTCTTACTTGTGTTCCTAAAAAAAAATGCCACCCGGCCATTTTTGG